TTGGGCTATGCTGACCTCTAGCTATCCAACCATTCCGCGGAACTCTCTTCAAGATTGGCTGGAGGGTAACCGCGGCATGAGCTCGGATGGCACGGCCTTGATTTCATTTAGGAAGACGCAAACGTTCAAGACATCCGTCACGTAGTCCTTCAGTAAATCGTAGCAGCGTAGACCGGTTATGGCATCGCGTGACATTTCGGTTCTTGTGTTTCTCGTGTCAATGTTTTCATAATGCGCGAACGTCTCCTGGTCTCTGTTGACTACTAGAGAATGTCTCGCTACGATACCTTCATTTAGTATAGCTCACGGAATAATAACCGATCACTGCTACGTCCAGTGCGAGGCTGTTAACGAAGGCACCAAAGCTGGAATTACCATATTTTCTGCCATATTTGTATTGAAGTTTTTACATAAAACTTTCTTGCTCGAGGTTGGCTGCTCAACTCCGACACCCTACCTTCCTCTATAGGTTAAGTGAGATATTTCTAACTTTGCAACGCAAGTTCCAAGTGACAGCGCAGCCAACTAAACTATCAAGATTAACTTCCAGCTGCATCTCCCGACGTATGCCTAACTATGTTAGAAACTCTAGCATCGTCGACATGAAAGGAGCGTACGCCTGACAGTTTCTGTCCGATAGTTCATCAACGTAAAAACCGGCTCCAGAACATTTACGTGTGGCAAGCCGCTGCGCACTTCTGCCTATATTGATATGGTTTCTTTGATGACGACTCGTTACCATGTGACTATTAAATGAGTTCCGATTCATTAGAGTACATTCCGTTCAATTCCCCAAGACTTCACAGAGATTTGCCAATGCGGAACGCTTACAAAGTGCTTATAAAAAGCGAGGTACCTGCATACAATGGCTCTACTTCGTCCAGTAGGTTAAGTTCAACAATCTAAAGTTTGCTTGAGTCTGTAAAAGACCTGACAGCTATAAAACCATTCTACACCCACGAAAGGTACTCAATACATGAGCGATATCCTCTCGCCGATTCTATTAGCTTCATTACACTTCTAAGACGCCTCACCCGCTTATTAGAAAATCGACTCCTTCATTCATGTAGAGTTGGACACCTTGTGGCAACGTGGTTCGCTCAGTTCAGTGCTTGTGTTCCCTTCCGATCTCTGGACTAGCAGTACCGAACCGTAGGTGCGTGTCGCTAGGAATTGGATACTATTCTTTTTGTGCTTCCATCTTTACCATTCTATTGTATTTTTGACCGCCTAGTCGCCAAATACTTGTGCCTTCGCTCTCTCCCCTCCCTCCATTCCTATGCTCCTTCCTATAGGAGGCGCCCCCGCCCTGAACCGCACGGGCTCGTCCGTAAGGGCTAAGGGCTTCCTCCCCAATTCACGACCCAGACTACCCCGACACTCATCATGCCACCCGCTTTCATCCTCATCAACCCTCATTCCGCCTCATCACCCAACACTAACTGAACGCTCAAGGCCTTAAACGTACCTGATCCAGCTCAAAAGAATTGACTCTCGACTGACCATAGACAGACAGAAAATCTTCCATACGACCTTCAAGGAACTAGCCGCGTCTGTCATGCAACTGACAGACACAAGCAATTGTTTCTACGCGTTAACGGACGACGCTTCTGTCATCGACAAATTTACCTCCCGTAAAGCCACTGAACTATTCAAAATAATAAACCTTACGCCCATTATACCACCGGACGATCATTATACCCTTCGCGCAAGAAGAACTATCTTTGTAAGGTAAATGAACAGGGACGTTGGTAGCAACGCTGTCGATGAACTGATACGAGAAATCTCATGCAACAATCATGGCTTCAAATCCAGAAAATTATATAAGTAAAAAAAACTACACCCACTGAATGAAAATTATCTCCACTGATACCACAATAGCATGAAGCGTTCTCACCGACAGTTTCTATCTTTACAGTACGAAAATCATCCCCATGCGAGCAGGAAAAATATACCCATCTCCTCATCTGCTGGCGCTATTTCCAAACAATAGACCATCTGTACCTGGGCGCTATTTCCCGAGCGTCTGGAGGCCGAACAACTACACACGTACTCGATCATCTTCACGAGATCTTCTGCGCTCGTACGGCAGTTGTAACGATCACGTCCGGATGCGACTGTCCAGAAACGACTACTAATTGAAGAAACAAACCAATAGCGACGCACGACTAGACACTGGACCAAATCTAGCTATCCACAAACATCCAATGTATCCCGGGCACTCCGCCACCCATCATCTCCATCTTAATCATTATCATCAATGAATCAAATGAAAAACCAAAGAACTGTAAGAACAAGAGCATGAAAGTGAAACTCGCATCTTGAGCACCTATTACTTCATTCTTCATCTCGAATGCATCGCCGGTAAATATTGAACCACAGTAAACCCCACAATACTCCGCAAAACTAACCAAAGTTCTGACGGGATCCCCCCTCCTCAAACCCTAATCAAACCCCTAAAACCTTTAATCAACCCAATTGTGCGCTGTGCCTTTTCATCTCCTATCTTTTTATTTTCTCCTTCCTCTTTCTGGCCACTCTGCGCCACCTCTTCCAATCTTTCCTAGTGGCACCGCAACAACAACAAATGTAGAGTTGCAAGATCAGGTAAACTGCCTCACTCAATTGGATAAAATTTATCCTGGCTAGCTAACAAAAAATATTTACGAGTTAGTTTAGGCTACGATATGTATTTATACGACAAAGTACCAAGTTAAATATAATTGAAGACGTGCAAGTGAAATAATAACTTCAATTAAGCTTATGAAAAGCTACGATATTCCTACAACGGCATGAAATTAATACCTCTTGAGAATCAGTGTGAATGAATATGTTCGCGAGGCTCTGACTCGTGTAAGGGATGAATTTCTGCCACTGTTCGCTGCCTCAAGTTCTGCAATGAAGACCTTGACGTAGATGCAGGTATTGCTGGTTCGTCTTCCTGCCTGTGTAGGGCAGGGTTCACCAGGCACGTGGCAATTATCATATTGCCTGGATGCACACGAACGGTGTGTGAATAGTTTTTTCAGCATAATTGGCTCCACTTCTATGAAAAATGCTTGTATATGCGTAGATTCCTCCAAAGCCTGGACAACTTCGTGAGTTCTTTGGTGCTGCGCTGACGGCAAAATTAGGACAGGATTCATTGAGCAGGTTATCACATTGAGTCCGTAAAATCTCATCAGCCAAGCAGGGCTCGTGGAAGCAGACAAACGACCCGATAAAGGTATCGTGCAGTGCTCAGAAGGCAGAAGTCGTTTGAGATTGTCTTCAATATACCAAGTAAAAGAGCTCGCCACTGACGAGTTTCCTGGAAATAAATTACTGTTATTAAACAACATAAATTGAAGTTACGAAAGATAAAATCCACCAAACAAAATGCTATAATAGCCGAATAATTGATGTTCAATAGGAATATAACTTAAATTTACGAATAAAGTCAAATTATTTAATTAAAATTTAAAGAAGAATAAACACCATAATTACCGAAAGAGGCAGACGACCGTACTAAATGGCATCACTGCCTTTCTTCTGTAATTGACGTGCCGATTATTTAGGCCGTTTAATCGATAGCATCTGGGCGTAGGTTACTACGTTGTCATCTTTGTCTGTTATTCCTCAATTGTCCGATAGCTGACGGCATAACTTTGCACGTAGGCAACGGCTTCGGCCATCTTCTTCTGGCTTAGAAGAACTTGTATGTAAGACGGCATCTGCCAGGCATATAGAAGACTGTATATGTAAGAAGTGAATTAGTATACCGTATGTACCTATTTAGATAGAAGAATTTTTTTAACTTTCTCAATTGAAAAAAATTTTTATATCAAAATGAACTTTCGGCAAGACTACTTAGATGAAATTGCAATACTATTAATCGTCAAAACTATTTGTTCAGCAACTCCTAAAGCTTTATTTAAATAATGGCAGCTCAAGCCTGACACTCGTGGTTTAGTGTCCTAGTAGTTTAGGGGCTTGTGTCGAACTCGTTTTCTTAGAGAGATTCAGCACGAAGCCTAATGAAAAAATCTTAGTGAAGACTTTTGTCTGAAAGGTTTAGAGATTAAAAATATGAAATATTCTTGAAAGAGGATTAACTTGAAGAGAGGTCCAAGCGGAAAAATCGAGATTCTTTCTTTGAGAATGTGTCATAGAAATAATATGCATTTAAAAATTACTTTTTAAAAACAACAATTCTAAAGAATCAAGTGTCTCCGGTGCTACACGTGTACGATGAATTTCTAATTTTATTGTCATATATTAAAAAAATTAAATTTTAAATTTTATTTTTATAAGTAAATAAATTAAATTTTTCAAATTATTTATTCTGTCAATTGATACATACATTGCCTCCGACTTTGCGCAAGTGTGGAAAATTTCAGATCAATTGGGCTGATAAAAGTGTGTTAAATATCGATAATAAGATTTGTATAAGATAAAATTATTTTTCAATTTTTTTAAATTAAAATTTTTTTCCTATTTTCAAAATTATATATTCTGTCAATTAATTTGTGCATTGTCTCCGACTTTACGCAAGTGTGCAAAATTTCAGATCGATTGGACAGGTAGAAATGTGTTGAATATCGATTATAAGATTTGAAGCAAACAGACATGTAACTATTCGCATAAAAGTTATTGTTGTACGTGATTGCCGCAATTCGTAATGCCCACGTTGGTGTGTCGGAGAAACTACATTAAAAAATTGATAGTTCGATTAACCCTTTCAACTGCTCCATTACTGGTTGGCAAAATTAGTGTCCCGAATGTATGTTTTATCAAGCATCTTTCAACGCTGAGAGGTTAAGAAAACTCAACTTCCTGCATGACATGGAATATATATATATATATTGAAATATATATCAGTATATAATTTATTATTATCCATATAGATTGTGTTTCCCCCAAAAATTCCTTAAACTACGAACTCGTGAATAATATAGTCAAACATTATTTGGAAATGCATTCAGATATTCATGTTGATTTCAATCATGTTGCGGGGGAGTTCAGTTCGCCGTGTTGCGGGTGAGTTCAGTTCGCCGTGTTGCGGGTGAACTGCACTTGTTCTGCAACATGGTTGACTTGAAGGCCGCGTCGTTGAATGAACCATTGGGTTTGAGCTGTTGAATTGAACAGGATATGAAGAGGTGACGAAGGAAGTCAAAGAATTGAAGAGATGTTTTTCATAATCTCCAGCAGTTATTTCCTATACTTAATACGAACATGCATATTTAATTTCTTGCAATTGATTAAACGCACATTTCCTCTTTCGATTCATGTCCGTTTCCCCGACAATGAACATCCTAATCATTTCATCAATAAATACATTTGACAAAACAGGGTATGAAAAAACCAGTAACTCTAAGCGCGTTCTATTGAAGGCAACCAATCGAATCCTAAATAATCAAGTCACAACTTCAAATTCTGAGATCATACTCAGCACTCAGGGATACTCACAAGTCCTGCAACTTTCAAGCTGCATTTCATATAACCGGAAATAATTGGATCACAGAAGGTGGCATTGTACGCTTGTGTTTTACTGTAGCAGCCTGCAGCTGTTACAGTGGAGGGGGAATAGAAAAAATAAGGCAATAGCACGAAATTATTATTTTTGTTATTTTAAAACCTATTAAATACAAGAAGAAGGAAAGGAACTCAGTCTTTAATTAAATGTTTGTTCACAATATTTCATGACGCATTCGGTGCATCAACAACATAAGGTGTGTCAGAAGGTGTGTCAGAAACGTAGCGTTCGCTAGTATCGTGCAAGTCATCATCTACGAGGGCGTGAGCTGGACATTATGGCTGGAGGTGTCAACAATTTGGTTTCAAATCTTCATTACTTCTGCTAACATATAAGGAAAAATTATACGCTTTCGAATGATAATATATTTAGGGTAATATAAAGAAACCTAAACTATTTATGATCACTATTTTTTACCAGTCACTATTGCTCACTATTTTTACCAGTCATGTTGTGAGAGATTTCGATTACGATTTGCATTGGATAATATCATATGCCAATACTGTTTATTAGAGTCTAAATGTTTGCTTGAAGCTCTAAAAAATTTATTTTTTTCAGTAAAATGATGGTAACATGAGAGAATAAACATAGTAATAAATTCTTACTAATTAGAGCACTTACTAGTGGTGTATCGTGTTATATTCGTCGTGTAGTTAGTAAAGCAGGGCTGAGATGCGTTCACCAGAATTGCGTACCCAGATGTTAAAGCCAAGTAACATGAGGAGGAGACCCTGTTACATTGAATACCATTCAAATACTTTTATTATATTCTGCATTTGAGGAAAGCAATTTGTTAGAATCACATTCATTCAAAATGAAGTGCGTACCATTGATAAATAACATTTCAGAACATATTCAATAGATCTGCGATGTAAAATAGTCACAAACTTAAGCATGAACACCAACTATATACTACACGCTGACCGCGCGACACTTACGTCAGGGCCGACACAGACGCCGCAGCCATGGCGAGGAGCACGAGACCTAGATTCATCTTCTGCTTGGGGATATGCTCGGGGTCTGAAAGACAGGACAGGATATGCTTGGGGTCTGAAAGACGGGACAGGATATGCTTTGGGTCCGAGGGCTGTTACTTCTCTGTTGTGGTGTCGTCATCAGGCGAGTATTTTTATAGACCTGCTGTTTGTTGGTTCAGGTGCTTCAGGAATAAATGCGCAGCCAACCTCCACGCACCGCTTGGTTAAATAATTTGGTTCAAGGCTGCAACCAGTGCAGACATCGAATAATGATTAATGCGTGGTATATATACAATGATAGAATATAGTTACGAATTTTCGAGAGTTTTTTCGTTCATTTTACCATTTTCTCGCGGAATTCTTCCATGTTGCTTCCGACCGGAGACGGGGCTGTTCGATGAAGGCCCTGAATTTCAATCGTCATGTTCTGACACTATAAAGCACCACGGCGATGTGAGCCGCTCTAACTTCAGCACCAGCCAGACCAACCAAATTTTAACCGTGCGAGAAAGTGAACTCTGTATTTTGACACATTTTTGATAACGAAGGCACTGATGGATGCTGATGATGCGGAGTAAATACAGAAGCAAGAACAAAAAACGAACCCAGTGAATGGCACGCACTGAGCTAACTGATCCTGATAATTGAGTTAGGTTCAATAGAACTTAATAAAAGGAACAGCGAAAATTCGGTTGGTCTGGCTGGCGCCGAAGTAAGAGCGACTGTCATCAGGCTTTTGACGAAATTTATCTAATAAAAACATGGATATGCTTTTTAGACACATATTGGTTTTAGACACATTAGCCAGACACTAATACGACACTAATCCATCCGGCTGGTAACGGAGTAGTTGAAATGGTTAATCGAACCATCAAAATTGGTTGTGAAGTTTCTCGTCATACCAAAGTGGTATGAAGCTCTACGAGTTGCGGCAATAACGTATAACCAGAACTTTCAAAAATTTAGTTACAGACTACATAATATAACCACAATTTTTTGTATAAGAAACCATGATGATGTTGATGGTCTTACTGACAGATTTGAAGGTCAATATTCCTATAAAATTATCATTAAATGATTTTAATTCCTTATATTCCTAAGAATTTTTGTTCGTTGAGATGCTAATGACATCTGCGACCTCGACTGCTGGAGGAAGACAATAGAACTTCGTTGGTCTGATAATTTCAATGCAATGCATTTGCCCCGAGTTATCAACTAACAAACACGCGTGGTCATTATGGCAGTGACTAATGATTCTCCTCACGCATCAGCAAATGTGCGCTTTAGTTCATTTCAACGAGTGAGTCACTTGGCTTATTAATATTCCTACGAATATGAACTATTTCTAATTATTACAAATTACCTATTGAGTAATAACTGCTGCTGAGCGTCCGCGCCGCATCAGAGAGAACCTTATGAAGCTACTTCATTTTTATTTAGTTGCTGTCATGAAGGTTCACAATTTGAATATATTATTGGTAGGAAATATAAACCATATTTAACTTGCATTCGCTCATTTTATAACATTGAAGTCATATAATTTGCATAATTATTCACATTACGAAGAAATTATCACTCAGGCTTTTCGCATTAATAAATGCAATACTAATCGGGAGGCTAAAAGTGCTAATGTATAATCAAGAAACATTTTGAACGCAATCAATTGTTGTCGCCGATGTAATTAATCACCGCCCACATGCAAGCCGTGTTTGCTGGTTGATATGCTAATGACATCTGCGACCTCGACTTCAGAAGGAAGACAATCGTACTTTAGTGATCTGAGATGTTAAATGCTATTTCATTCGCGCAGGTTGTCAAATGATAAAAGAGCGTGGTCAATATTGGCAGTCGACACAGAAGTGATTAATCAACGGCCACATGCACGCCGTGTTCGCTAGTTGAGATGCTAATGACATCTGCGACCTCGGTCTCAGGAGGCATCAGCAAATGTTTGTTCGTATGAAGCTTCAGTTCATATGGCCGTGTAAGTCAGCGTTCTTTTTACTTATGATGGCCTTTCATATTGGTTTCTTCTGCTCAAATTACGTATTCATTGAATCAACGATAGAACTTTCGTTACATCATGAAGAACGATCATCCAATAGTAGCATAGATCGCTAAATAGCCAGGAATTCTTCCTGCAGGGATGGTCCAGAAATAATTTCATTTCCAAGGAAAACGCACAATTGAAACTATTGAACATGGTTTAATAGAACTACAAAGATTTGTTGTTACATGGAATACCTTTAATTACCACACAATCACTCACTCTGTGACCTGACACAAAAGCTTGACCCACAACGCTAGAAGAAATATGTTTTTTTTAATATGTAAGGTTTATTCGTTCACGAAAGTAAACTCGTACAAGCGAGTTTTCTTGACTTTCTTATTAAAATCTGTTCCTGTGAAACAAACAACAACAATAGTAAAATAATTGCGTATAAAAGTATTATTGTGCATGAGTAAACGAGTAAAATACTTTAACTTGAACACGAACAAACAAGATCGAAAACTTTTTTAAATATTCAGAACATGATTGATAATTAAAACACGTACCAAATATTCGCTTCTATACCATGGACGTCGATAGCCAGCCTCGAACTAAAACCAATACGTGGATTAAAATTTACTATTACTAAGTTGCGTACGACATCCGCAACTTATATCAACAGGGAATCTCATGTAGCTGTACTGCCAGACGCTTCATATCAACAGGGAATCTCATGATGCTGTACTGCCAGACGCTTCATATCAACAGGGAATCTCATGAAGCTGTACTGCCAGACGCTTCATATCAACAGGGAATCATGAAGCTGCACTGCCAGACGCTTCATATCAACAGGGAATCTCATGAATCTTCTCGAGAGCGTTCATATACACGTTTAGATGAAGTGCCAATTGATATAATGAGAATGAAATGAAAAGAAAACACAGATCTTTTCACACCTGAATTGTCACATTTCATTCGTTTGTATTTTTGGAGTTTGTAGAATCGATATTATGTTGGATATTTTGGCAGCCCAATACTTATTAGCGAGCTATAAATTGTCAAGTGCAACGAATTTTCGCAGCCAGTTTGCCGCCAGTACTCACAGTAGCTCTTCTTTCGAGTCAAAACTGATTTTTTAGTGTGCAAAATTTAACATTGAAAGCGAAAATAATTAATTCGAAGGTCAACTTTTGGGGTGCTTGACTTTTGAGTGAAATAAAGGAAATAATTAGTGTAAATCAGTTTTTATCCTTGACGACTGACTAATTATCAAGATATTTTGGAGTCAGATCAAGCAGACGAGTTTGACTTACCACGAACATCGGGATTGCGAACTGAGGTCGGGCAGATCCTGCACAGCTACTCAATTAAGATTCAATAACCTTCGTGTGATGAAGGAGCAGTAGACTATAGTTACAAATTGGTAATTAAAATTTGCACAATATTCTGCAAATAATAATTCCTAAAATGTTATAGTTAATTGAGTTGACCTCAAAATTTTGAAAGTTAGAGATAAATTTGTCATTATTATTTAATATATAATACCTTTGTTTACTATACGTGAAGCTGCAGAAGAAAGATCGCAACTGCTAGAATTCTTTGCCTAGAGTATATATGATCACCTAAAATGGTAATTTACGAGTGTGATAACTTTTTTGTACGTAATTTTTAGATTTTCGGGTGAAAAAATCACACCGCCCATCCAAAGTACAATTGGATTTTTATTAGATACTGTGTTGTATAGGGTGGCCCAGTGGTTAAAGTTCGGAGTACCAAGTGATGGGAGCCACCAGACGAGAACGAAAGAAGCTGCCAGGGCTGCTTGTGAATAGGACAAGATCAAACCCTCCATACTCTGCAGAGATCCATCAGTAGTGAGCTGCATAGCCTCATGTAAAGGAAACAATTTAACCACTGATAAAGTGTGCATAGGAATCAACCACCACCTAGTGGCCAAGTATATAGGCTAGCAGAGACAGATCCAGTAGCCGAACGCGGTCCGTCGGCACAGATTTGCAAATATTGAGGATAAAACTGTATCCAGAAATCTTGAGAGCAATTCTCTGTGGGTTCAGGAGGCATTGAATTGACTATGGACTCTGCGAGTTCAGGAGGCATTGAATTAACTGTAGTGAAGGCAAATGCTGGAGGAAAGATCAACATGAGTTGTAAATGTGGACATCAGTGACGTTTTAACTCGCAGCTGGGGCGGAATGTTCAGCTTCTGAAAACTTTGACGTGCTTCTACACTGAATGGCGTTGCTACAAGTATCTCATGACTCAGGAACCGGAGTCATAAGACTTCTAATGAGACATCCCCTGACGACATACATACACATACTGAGTGCCCATTTCAACCTAACATTGACTTCTCCGAGGCTCTCGTTTCATTTATTTCAAACATTCATGAATATGAACAGTCGTGGAGTAATGCGGACAGTTAAAAAATTAATTTAGGAAAAGGGTGTACGCATCTTTGGTCGTCCGAACAAAATTAAGAATCGTGATCCCAGGATGTAGGTAATTTGTCTGAATCCACTCCCTAGGCGAGGCCAAATTCATCACATAGAAAATTGTTCAACACAAAACAATCGAGAGCTGTTGCAGTGTCTTCCACAGTGCGCAATGAAGAAGTTTAGCGCGCTCAAAATTTACATTAATCTACTTCTGGGCTGTCGGTTAACATAATATACAATAATATGCGATTTTCAACCGTGATGCAACAACTTAAATCATCGTGAGCACGTTCGCCGTCGTACGCAGGCCATGTTGTACAATTAATGCATTTTCCCTAAAGCAATGTCAATATAATAAATTATCAAGTATTCTTGCTTGGGAATCTTATATCGACAATGCAAAACTTTGAGGCGCTGAGGTTTGCGGGATATGTCGTCTGTGGTCCATCTTTGCAGACGATGAACTTAGCTAGAAGTGATCAAGCATGGCTTCGTATTTAATTCATATGCTTTATTAAACAGGAAGTTTCACTGAGCATCCAAAGTGGATCTGCAAAAAAGATTTTAGTTGCTTATTGCACTAAAAAGGGCGCGTGCTTAACGTCAAAGCCCTGGATAAATATTCACTAAACCGAGGCGTTCACCGCCACCTTTAGTCTATTCAAAGTCCACAGAAGATTGCAGATTCGTGGTCTGCCTTTGAGATCTGATCCTCTCATTGCGATGTCTAGTTCGGCTACTTTGTATAACGTAAAAATTATGGATTTGGCTACTGACTATTGAATCATGTTTACCTTCTTTATTTTCTGTTGATGAAATTTAGAAAAAGAAATTTTTTTCATTAAGGTTAGACTGCAAAATTTCAAACGGATATAAAAACAAATATTCGTACCTGTGAACTAATGATTTATTGCAAGCAATAAAACATTGTAATGCAAGTAGTCCACTCCACAAGTATAATTCTGATGGTAAAAACACATGATAACACAACCCAATGGCCATACAATTTTCTAATATGAACAAGACATCATTCATTTGGGATTAACTTGTGGATGCGCTGGAATTACAATGAAATAAATATTGTTTTTACAGAAAAGAATAAGCAAATTCTTGTATTTGCAAAACACGAAACGTTAGCTAAGTTATTTTAATTAGTCTGAGTTTGGAAATAAATTAATTTTCCGAGATGTTTCGACCTCTTACGTTGGCATCTTCTATGATGATTGGAGTGAGCAGAGCGCCACAGCTCTAGTTCTATGCTCCATTATTCTAGTTCAAGGATCCACAGCTCTAGCTCTATAGTCACACACAGCTATATATTTCCAGGTGCCAAAACTCCAGTTCCATTTGTTACAGCTCTAGTTGTAAGTGCCACAGCTCTAGTTTTAAATGCTTCAGCTGCAGTTCTAGAGGGCACAACCTCTTATCTAGACGGGGTCAGCCTCGCAAATGACACGTCGCACGTTGCTGCACGCGGTGCTGCTAAAGCGGTACATGAAGGCAGAGCTCAGCTCCAGGCAGTTCTCCACGCCGGGGTTGTCGGGCTCTAGCGGCCCTCCACCATACTGTATGAAAACAAAAGAACAATTAATAATGTTTTTTCCAAGAACACGAATAATATTATAAAGAAATTAAGTACTTCTTAGGCACTATCGCTCGTAGAATTCCTTCTTTAACAGCTTATATTTATTTTTTGTAATGATTTGTTGCTTCCTCGCAAATCACTATAGACTAAAAATTGTCAGAGAAGGACGACAATCATTTACTAAACGATATGAAAATTCGAATTCCCACGCAGGTTCTTCCTACACCAAAACAATGACAAAAACAATGTCATTTTGTGATGAACTGTTTTACACAGGAAGATTCATTTTAATACTGCGTACAAGATACAACTTCAATAAATGACGAGCAATACATCCGTCGGGTAAGTGGTGCCAGCTCCACACAGGACAGGAAAAAAATAATTTGGATGCGTTTGAATAATTTTGCGCAAATATATAAATGAAACTATTTACGTTGACTCAAGACTTGCGTTCTTCTCGGACAAACTTGGCTTTCTCAGACGTACAAGCCTGTACTGGAGAGGAGTTAGTACGGCAAAGGCCGCCTAACATATAGTAACAAATGAATAACTATCTTGGGAATTTCTTATTGGACGCGAAGATTGCTAAAAGACGCATCTTATTTTGCGTATGTTTGCTTCATAAATGTGCCTAAATAGAATACATGAAAGTTTTAGTTCAACAATTCTCTTACTGATCATAGTAATATGTAAGCCCCAGTTTGCTCACCGTTCCCCAGTACGGCAGCCCCAAGGACAGAGGTGAACCGTCAATCCAGCGCCACTGCCCCTCCAGCACTTCGTCAGAGACGCCAATCCAATATCCGAGAGGGTCGTGGCCTGATTTTGGCCACGTATATCAGAACATTCATAATTTTAAATTGGAGTATGTTTTTAATGTAAATTTCAAAGAAATGAAGTTCGTGGCCTAGGCGGCCTAATGCTCTAACTTCGCCAAAACTAGTTTGCACTTCTATACGACCAAAAATTATAGGTATTCTTGTGATGGATTGAAGATAGTTGCTGAAACAGCATTTCACTTCATAAGAAGGCGAGCGCAAGGTAAAGTAGATCCTTCCATACATGTAAAATTTCAATTTGTAGTTACAGATTTTGATAATTTTAAAATGTGGGCACAGTAGAACAGGTTTCCATTCAAGCGTTTCTGCTAACATCAAATCATCAACAATATAAAATGAGGATGTGAATAAACAATTCTGTTGGCAAAATTTCACGGATGGATTCTTCAAAAGACGAATTGCGTAAGAAAACGTCATCTAAAAAGAAAATAAAACATCCGTCGATAAATCTATGAAATAAAAATACCAGAGAACACTCTGGGAAGTCATCGTACCCTGGTCAAAAGATTTCGGAATATTCCTACATGTTTACACGAGGATTGCTGCGGAGAAAATTGGTTACCACGGACGATTGCTCCATTGGCTCTAGCTCATCATAATATATGTGTTAGTGACACTACTACTTGTTTGTCAGCTATCCAAAGCTGTCATTATTCTCCAGTTATACTAGTAAATACGAAACATGTGTCGTGCAAATTTACAGAGGAGCCCCCGATCATCACTAATGTAGCTTGCCTGAATTACGAGATATCTCGGTATTATTACCGTTGTTAGTATTTCTCAAACGTACCATATTTTTTGTTTGTGCACATAATATAGCGTATGCTCCTAAGATCAATCATATCATTACAAATACTTTGTGGCTTCTATAGGCAAGCGCTGCCTCATGCACAATATTTTCCAAAGTTAGTGCTAAGCGATGCATGACGTACCAAGGACCTTTAGAGATGTCACCCAGTCAGAAATCGCCGCAGTCTGGAAGCCAGCCGCGGGTGAACTTGCCTGCGCCAACGCTCGCCCCAGCGCAACGCCAGGGTGATCAACAGCGCAGGAATGTCCACAGCAGCGCAATATTGTGGCAGCGCTTCTCGTGTTGATCAAGTCTCCGCCGGTCAGCGCGCACTGAGAACGCGCATCCAGCCAGTGGTAAGCGGACGGGATGATGTGTACGCACTGCGTGCCCACCAACACGTAGGGATTATCGCAGAGACCTGCACGACGATCAACATTGTAGTTAAAAAAATTCAAACATCTGCAGCCAAATACTTTCCTCGAGGTCAGAGTATCGAGTCGATGTTTAGAACTTACGGTTGTATATGGAGATTTAGAAGAACATACGCAAGTTGTAATTAATTGAAGAATTTGTCCATTTTTTGAAAACCAAATCTTTTCCCATATTTTGATTTCATTGGGATAGATTCAGTATTGGTCATAGGTTCCTTAAAAATTCTAAGGGAAATGACTGCAATAATGTTACTTACATACACATCAAATTTTGGAATCGACTTACGGAGAAGTATAGTCTTCATTTATTATTTTAATTCAGAAGCTCGTGGTCCGGGCCAAAGTTCTATGGTAAGGAGTTGAAAAATTTATTGAAAAATATTCGATATCAGAAATAAAACGCAGAGCACTGAAGAGAAAACTTCCAAGATACTGGACATAAGGGTAAGCAATGGGGTAACGACAATGGGTCTGGCGACTTTTTGTCTGGCGTCTGCTCGGTCTGTGAAAAACGAGTTAGGGTTCGTGAATTGGATGAAAAATTCAAAAACCAGACCATGTGGCCTGCTTTTTCTTCTTGAGAATTGACGATAAGAAAATTCAGTGGATTCTTCGTAACCTTGACAGGATCCTTTCCACTGGGTAAGTGGAGAGGGTGATACAGCGATGCGGTGCTGAATAGGTTACATAAGTATGCATGTGAACAACATCCAGCACGTTTGATCTGCGATGTTTGATCGAGATTGTCAGACAATGTACTGAGTGAGTGGAGAGGGTGATACAGCGATGCAGTGCTGAATAGGTTACATAAGTATGCATGTGAACAACATCCAGCACGCTTGATCTGCGATGTTTGATCAAGATTGTCAGACAATGTACTAGTAGCATCTGCTGGTAATAATTATTGAATCTACTGAAATAAATATTGAATTCCTTCGATAAATATTCCTGAAGATACGGGGTTTTACTCATTTTCCCGGAAGCAATTATTGTAAGAGAATTAGACGAGGCCACTTTCACTATTATTATCAGCAAATAGATGTAGTATACAAGGTTACTATGAAGGGATTATACTGCGACACGAGCGAGTTGTTGTCGAAATAGCGTTAACGAGATCTATCCTAGCTTGACTGACTCACCGTACAACGTCGGAGCTTATATTCGTAGATTATCTCTCATGACGTCACTGGACGTAAACTCTTAATAGAACATCAGCATCAAACCGACAGTATTATGTAAATTTTATTCCGGTTATATATTGACTGGTATTCCTACGAAAATATTGTAAAATGTAATAATAATGAATCGCCTGTCAGATTACAAATCTACGTTTGAGGGCGTTGCAATAACCCTGGTCAACGCTGTGCGCCATGTCCGCTGATTCAAGAGTTGCTAAGCGTGCGTTCAGGGGCGACAGGACCATGAAATTTTGCTCTCGCTAATTCGGTGCTCTCTGGTCGATAGTCACATTTATTCGTCAGCACACAATTATCTTTAAATATCTAGTATCGTGTCCTGTACTCCAAACTAGGTCGTAAATCGATGAATAGGCAACTCTTCTAATTTTTGCAACTGGCAGGCGCATATCAACTAAAAGCAAAGCATTTCTTAGGGCAATTGCGGCTTTTTTCCTATGTTACCATGGCCAAGCGTGTTTCTATTCAATTTGTTCCATTGAATTAATCTAAATTCAGAGGAGTATATACTCGCCATCTATTGGAGCTTTTGAACACAGGGGATAAGTTTCTTTTGCAACGTCACACAAGTCATCATGAACTGCCCAGCCCCCACTCGGTTGAATGTAAGCGCAGTTCTCCAACTCCGGTTCACAACAAGGTTCTACCAACGAACCGTGCGAAGAATGCTGCGGGGACAAGATCATAATGACGTTATATTCAGCAATCATTTATCATATAAGTTATAACAACTAATCCATCACTTAAGTTATTAGTGGGCATGAGCCAAACATGCGGCCTGTTTCAAAATGATTTATCGACAGACTGGCACTAAGATCACATGATTGCTTGAATCATAAATTTATTTCAAACAAATTTTGGAGCTGTGGAGAGCTGTCCTGTGAATATCAAGCGTCCTAAGCCTAACCAAAGGATCGCGGCCGATACATGGAACAATATTGAGTGTCCCACAACGAATGCTAATAACGGCACCAAGCACTGCAGTCATCCGTCAATAAGTCACTCACATAGGCCCAATATGGCGCGCCCATGGCCACCGCCGTGCCGTCATTCCACTGCCAGACGCCGTTGGCCGCCGGGCTGGTGGCGCCTAACCAGAAGCCGTTGTAGGCGTCCGCTGAGTCTGACGCAAAAAATCATATAACTTTCAATGTTTTACGCTTTAAATTGGACTGGTGGATGTTGCATGTTGCGTGCAATTATAACATGTTTGTGATATGATAATCTTACAGCCATCGTCGACATAAGTGGCTACATCTGTGAAGGTGGCGCAGTCCGGCAGTATGGGCAGGCTGCCGGAGATCTCGTGGCAGTAAGTGACCGCGTTGTCGTACGTAAGATATCCTCCAGTCAAGTGGTGGATGCACTTGGACCCAACGACCTCGTAGCCAGCAGGGCACTCTGCCCTCGCTGCACCTGCTGTGGCATTTGTGATGCGTTATCATCACATAATAGTTATCTTCATGTAGCAAGTATGTAACGGGATGGTGAAACCTCGATTTATTTAGTGGCATCTCCATTACCACCATCATCACTACCATCACCGGTACACTGTTAGAAAAAACGGTCCCACTGGCATCCTAGTGGCCGGTCGCCCCGTGAAAATAAACTGTTTTGCCGTTTTTATCAGATGTTTTACGGATTTCTGGTGTTAAAGATGTGTATAANGACGATGTGATGGCAGTGATGATGTGGTGACGATGTGATGGCAGTGATGATGTGGTGACGATGTGATGGCAGTGATGATGTGGTGCCAGGAATATTCCATTATTCCATGTAAGCGGCAATAATCTATACTCTGAGCTCTGCGGTGTTTCGAGATTTTTCCAACACTAAACTTTATGATGGAATTGATTTTTTTATCTTTACTTTACTTGAACTCAAGAAATGCATCAAAAATTACGTGAAATTCATTAGATATTAACCAAGTGATGGCTTGGGTCGTAATTTGATTACCTTCACTTCTGCGTAGAAACAAAGAGACCAGCGAAGACGATTCCGAGAATTATGGACCTGCGAGTTGCGCGTTATCTTCAACGCAGAGTGCAGCAGATAAGTGCTCCAATTATAAATTGTATTACGCATGAAGTTAATTGAACTGCATTGCTGAGTTATAAATTTTAGTTTTAGGAATTTTGTAGCAGATGTTCTGGCAACATCAAACAAAGTATTGGAAGGACCTGTCTTACGGCTTGGTCATTCGTTGATTTTTACTGAAGCCAGCCGCTTCTACTCGTGGAGAACGTCCCTCTTTTGTTCAGCTATTCTACTTTAAAAAAATTGGAACTTGGACCAAGCCTTGTGACCCAAACACCCAATTGGAAGTTACCGTCAACGAATCAATAAACCCACCCGTTTGAATCTGAACCAATAGGAACATTACAGTGTGTACTCACCGCTAGCATATATTTATTGCAGGAGTGTCGAGGCAAAGACCTCGCTATAACTTGATCGATTTTTAATGGATGTCAGGGAGGGACGGCGGCTATAATTCCGTCGAAGTTTCCCGTCCCCGCTGGTCAGTGTCGAGCGCTTTACGTCTTCTATACCTGATGATATATTTATATATTGAGGAAGAAGCAGAATATCCATGGTAGTTAGGTATCTAGCTTACATAGAGGAAAGTGGAGGAACGGGACATTGTGACAGTAAAATTATTCAATATATTAAAGGGTTCAACGTCAATCAAAACACTACCTTGCGCGGCCACGCTACTCTAAACACTTGTTAAATAATACCCGCTAATATATAAAATACTTGACGTGCCCCACTATCCCTCACTCTACCTCTAGCTTAAGGACTTAGTCCTCCTGTCCCTGAAACCTATTGTCGTCCTGGTTCATATTCAATGATGGACGACTGAAAACTAGATTGCCATTAATAAATACGTTACTAACTGAAGCCTTAGTATAGTATAGTAGCGTCGGCACTGAAGATAAGGCTAAGCCTGACCCGTCGCCTATTCTTGTAGTGGTTATAATTTGCTCACAGCAGGTTGTAACCTGATGTTTTGACCAGATCTTTCTAAATTGACTTTGATGCCATAAAGCTACTTCTATGTTACCGTTCCGGAAGTGCGCAGTCTAGTCCAAACACACACCGCTTCGTATAATTGCATAAATTTTTGAATGAATTGCACGAGCAATTATTGACTGGTTGGGGCAGCGGGGCAGAAGGAAGGACGCAACAAGTGCGACTGCAAACCGTCCAATTCCAACCAACATTCTAACTCCAAGTCGTTCAACGACGTAGAAGGCTCACTTTGTTGCCCCGAATCCAACATCAGACGAGCCACATGGCACTCCAGGCCTTATCCGAACAGAGGCTTTAATCGAGCACTTCCCCTACTTTAGTGATTACCGTTTCGACTGTAAAGGTGAAATTTCTTTACCTCTGTTCTACTGCGTTACTCAAAATAAGTAAGCTCCCGGGTGCACCTATCCGAGACTAAAAACTATCGTCAGTGTAATAAATGTCACATCTGTTGTGCATTCATTTCTTGTACTTTGTCAAATATATGTGGAATAAGAAAGTTCATTTCCTGGATTATGGACACCAATCTCGTTTATACGCTTGTATATATCCGTGATTGGTGCCTATCGTCCGTAAATAAATGACATTCCATCAATACTTATTGTAAGGGAAATTCATCCATATCATATTTTTGTTGCGGTTTAAATTATTTTCTGTTAGACGGTTTACCGTTACCGGTAAAGTTGGCTATCGTGTCGCGTGTGCTGACGTGGCATTCCCGGCTGAAGTCCGCGTTAGGATATCAATTAATTGTTTCATTGGGACTTGGTTGGAGCGCACCTTCCTCTAACTATACTCTTGTGAGTTGTGACTGTGTAGCGTCCTTAGTAGGTGTGTTGCAGTGCAGATAGAAGATAGGATTGTGTCATCTGCACATCGCTTCAGCATATTGTTTCTTCAGTATTTTGCCTTCAGCACCTTGTGTCCTTAGTACGTGTACCCTCAAGGCCATGTACCATCATTGCCGTTAAGTGTGTACTATATTTGCTGTGTGTTATCATTGCTTTGTGCTATCATTGCTGTTTACTATCATTGCTGTGTGTAATCATTGCTGTGTACCGTCGTGCTATGCTGCAGTCGGTGTGTCATCCGTTCAGTGCCCATGCCCATCGTGCTGTGCACCATCATTGCAGTGCTCCATTGTCGCTGTGTGGTGTACCATCAGTACTGTGTGTCTTTGCTGTGTTACCTATCTCGTGCTTTGTTTCGTAGACGTTCTGAATTAGCTTAGTCACTAGGAACTTTTCAACCATTGATCGTGTCAGTGTTTTGTTCAATAAATATTT